TGTGCATCTCCTTATTGACCATAGAAGCAAAGCAAACATTCCCAACACAGGCAGATGTGCGTATATCTTCTTAATTTCGATATTTGCTGCAGCTCTTTGTACGGAATGAGGAATCAGATCCTTGTACTATTTGTTATCTGCCCTTGTCCCTTGTTCCAAATAGCCAGCAGGGCATTGCAGAAGCAGAGATAGATAGGCAAATTCTTCTTTCCTAGCTGCTTTTCCCATTTATATGATGCAGCAAAACATATAAATCAGTTCAAACAAGAACATTACAAGGATTTTGTTTGCTGGATATATTTTAATGCCACAGACAGGAGATTGCCAGTGTGCTGCTGCTGCTGCTGCTATTCTTGTGGTAGCCGTGTCTCACCACAAGTCCTGCCACATAATGGGGATTTTACAAAAGATTCTGTTTTGTGTTGTGGGAAGACAGTAAATATACTTGCATTACACTTCCAAAAGATACGTGCTTTATATAATTTTAGTCTTTTACTGCGCCATAGAAATAGAATTCCAAGTAGTTGAAGCAGTTCTGTATCGAACTGAGATCCTCTGTATGGTAAGCTTTTAAGTTGTGTAGTCTGGAGGCAAGAAAAATGTTGCCTTGAATATAAATATAAGAAAAAATATTATGTCTTACCCTTTAATAGATGGGTTGCTGTAGAAAACAGAGAAGGGGAAGTGTCATTTAATATCAGGCTATATGGTCATGGAAAAATTGCTTTGCATGTTTTGAAATACTGAACTCAACGTTTAATTGATGCTGTGATAGCCTTTATTTATTTAGGAGATGTTTAGCCTGTTTTTCAGGACACACAAGTCTTACAGAGAAGCTTGTAAGATTATAAAATAAAAGAAAATACAATTACAATAAAAAACAAAAGCTTTCCCTTGAAAAAGTAACATGAAACTATAAACTGTGGGCAATTTCTCATCTGAAAACTGAATCCTTAGCACATTAGTTCATTTTTCTCAGTTGCACACATCTTTATATGCCTTTTGAAAGTCTATTGCAGTTCTTAGCTTCTTATGGATTTTTTCCATTAGGAAAAAAAATGCTGTTATTTGAAAAAGAATGTTCATGTTGATAGTGATGCTATAAATATATAATTACTATTGATCACTGTCAGTCAGTGTTTCACTGTTGCTCAGCCCTTTTTAACCCGCATTGACTAAAAGAAAAGCATATATTACAGTATTGCTTGACTTGCAAAGATGATCTGCTCTGTGCTGCTTTCAGAACAAATTCTAAGAAAAAACAAAGTGGTTTTCTTAGCAGCTCAGTTTTGTAGCTGCCTCGCTGCTGGTTTGTTTCGCCAGCACTTTTATACGGCAGTCCAGCCTGCTTTTTCAGACAGAGGCCTTCAGCGTTTCCATGGACATTAAATAAACCTGCGGGCATTAGTTGTTTTTCCCCTTTGGAACTCGCAAATCAGAATATAATTCTAAAATACGGAGGGAAAGGCACTTTCAACAAACAGTATTGAGTATGCATAGAAGTGCAGAGGGCACATGTAATTCAGATCATTTTGTCTTCCTTTGGAAAGAAAAAAATGATTTTTATGTCCACATTTACTGTCATATCTACTATTTTATTTATTCATTTATTTTATTTTATTTCTTATATTTACTTGTTAAGTTTACATGCATCTGCACCAGATATAAAAGATACGACCAGTCTGCCATCTACTAATTTTGCAGTACAGACTTGATCATTTTTTCACATAATATCAAAGACATTCATGTGGAAACTCAGAAATCTTTACCTTTCCTGGGTTGTGGTAGTGAATTTTAAAATCCCCTTTAGATCCAATTGTACATGAAAAGAAGATGAGAACCCAGAGATCCCCACATGATTTCCTGTTTTTTTCAGTTGCTAAGTTGAATTTCATCCAGCCAGACCATGAGACAAGAAAAAGACTGGAAAGAGTTATTTATGGGATTTCTCCTTAGCCATCCGCTTACCTAATTTGAACTGATGAACAGTTGGCACTTTTCAGGGTGTTCTTAGATAAACAAGCACTTCTATGTAGGTTGAGGTTTGATAATAATTAAGGGCAACTCCTTTTTTTTAACCAAACCTTGAGATACACGCTTGTAATTGTCTTTACCATTAAAACTGATATAGTAATAGATGTGCCTAGGTTTACTTTAATTGATGTTACTAGAAAAATATAAAACATATTCAGATTTTTTTTCTTACTTCTCTTCCCTTACTCCATTTTTGGATTCACAATATTGTAATATTCAAAAGTTGTATGAAAAATACTTGAGTACCTGAAATTCAGTATTGGACTAGAGATGTCTATCCGAAAGGAAACCTTTGGTATATGAACATGACTCCTTTTCAGCACACAGTCTGATTAAAATTACCCCTAAGGATTAAAACTTATTGTGTGGCAAACTAAAGAAGCCTCCGATCTCTCCCCCCAAAAAGTACTGAAATGAAATAAATCTGGAATGACTGCCTATCAGGAATTATGGTGATATCGAGCATAGGGAGTAGGTAAAAGAATCATAGCAAAAAATTGGAAATGTGATATTCCAGATAGGAAGGAATGGTTGTCAGAAATGTGTGATCTAGCTGTTTTAAAAAAGGCAATATTTTCTATCAGTCAAAGAATTATAGCAGTGTGTTACTGTGGCAGAGATTTTGTGGTACCTTGCAATAGTATCTTGTATTGTTCATATTATAGTAGTGAATTTATTAGTAAACCAGTGACTATTGATCATTATAAAATATAAGATGGATTTTCTTTTCTTCTTTTCTTTCCTAGTTTTTATTTTTAGTTTGTTTGGGGTTGTCTCTTGTCTATTTTTTTTTTAAGTTTAAAGATTGTTTTGTTAATTGTGTATGTTAAGAATGCGAAATAAAAAAATACATTTTTTTTAAATTGAAAGGAAATAAAACTTTTGCACATTTAATTCTAATGATGTGTGTGTGTGTGTGCATATTATGTTAATTTAAGTAATTTACTTAAATGTTTCAGTGTTTATATAAATTGCCTGAGATGCTTTAACAATCAACGGGCTTTGACATTTGGGGGCAGAAGGAGGCAAAGTCCAAAATCAGACTGACAGGTTTCATGGGGGTCCAGTAAACAGAACAATACTAACAATGACATTTTGTTTGCTCCCAGAAATACTGAAGGGTGAAAGTGCATTTTTTTTATTATTTCTGGCTATCTTTCTGTTTTAATGAGTTTATACATTATCTATGATGGCTTTGATATTGTATCTGGCATGCAGAGCTTTGATTTAAATGTACATAGTATGAAGCTTTGATGTCTACTGAACATTCCCTTTTTTTAGTGAAAAAATCTAATCTGGTTTAGAGTTCCCAATTTGTTTTGATTAAAAAAAAACACTCTTGCAACAAGGTGTTTGTCATACTGTCTAATTTTTAATTTATCTACAAAATTAGAAAAATTGAGCTTAACCACTGTGTTCTCATAAAATAATCTCCATTGTAATGAATAATGGTAATGACCAGTGAACTGTATTTGAATGTAAAGATACAAACTTTGTAGCGCACATGCTGGTAATTGCTATGTATGCAAAATTAACTTTAGATAGGGTCAAATGTAAGGTTTTTCTAGAAAGCTACCCTTTTTTGTTTTCACTAAGTCAGTCATTCATTAGTTACTAACTGAAATGATAAGGAGATCTGGCTAATTCAAGCAAAGACAGTGATACTCTAATTTTGTTTAGGACCTGTTCAGGAAGCTTCCTTGACTTAAATCAGTAAAGCCCTTTGCTACTGTTATTCCCCAACAAATGGGACTGCAATAATGTGCCAGAAGGGAAAATAGAAATCATAATTTAGTTATGTACAGAACTCTGTGTTCTGGTCACAGAACATTCCTGTGTTCCCCCGAGGATGATTTTCACTCAGAACTGCACCTCAAGAATTTGCTTCTGGAAAAAGACAGGCCACCAGGTCTGCATTCTGGGAAGAAAAAAAACGTTGGTGACCAGAAGACAGAATTTTGTGTATCCCAACAAGCACTCTGCATTTCTCAAAGAAAGGATTGCTGATACAAGACTGATGTCAGTGTCGTTTCTTCCTTGTCCCTATTTTTTCCTAGGAATACATTTTCTATGTAATTAAAAGAAGAAAAAAACCATTTGGGTCTTCTGACCAAAATCTGTTTGTCATTAAATATTCTTTTTCAAAGGTGGTAATAAAATAAGATGATTTTAGCTTTTCATAATGGTAATGCAAAAAGATGGAAGCTGTGAAATGGAAAATTCTAATATTAGGAAAGTCTGGAGTTAGAGAAGACTAAATCAATGTGGAAATGAAAAGGCAGATCTCTGGCACTAAAGTTTTCTTGCCTGGAGTATCTAACTCTTTGTAAAATATCGGAACCAACTCTTCAAAAGAAGAGACAAGTAGATAAACATCTAAATCTAGAACGGGGTATTCTAAAGGCTTCTGATTTGGGCGTTGACACAAGCATTATGAGCTCAGTACCATCCATCATTCTGTCTTCTGCTTGTTAGTTGTCCCTGGTGGTGGTTTCAAATGTCATCTAAAACATTATTTTGATTTGATTTGCAACATTCCAGACATCTCTGACCTTTTTCCTCCCCCTTTTTTGTCCTCTTCGTCTTTCATTTAGGCAAGAAGACAACAAGACCCTAGCCCTGGATCAAACCTGGGAAGTGGTGATGATCTCAAATTACGTTGAGAAGCAGTGCTGGGCTTTTTAAACTTTGGCAAATTATGGAATTAAAAGACCAGAAACTGTGATGACTGGATATATATAATAGTCTTTTCCCTGATCTGCGGCAGCCAAACTATCATGTCCTGCCATGGTTTGCACTATGTTTGTGTTGCATTACCTGTGTTTCTGTTCTTTAAGCATGTCGCCAGTGGGAATTTGAGATTCTTGTTTTTCTATGCAAGCTTATGATTTCTTGGCACTATTTTAGCGAAGAGAGAACTTTACGCAGCCATAAAAACGTTCCTCAGCTGATACTTGTTCATTTCAGGATGGGTCAGAATAAATTTTCGTGAGTTCTTAAAAACCAAAACTTTCTAAACTAATTTTATATGAGATGTTGGAAGATTGTCATAATGTTCTTGCTTTTAGACACACACTCTTTGTGGTTGTCTCTTTTTGCACTTTTTTCTCAGTTTGCAAAAGATTTTACCCTTTTACATTATGCAGCCTGAACCAAGTAACACAGTGTTGTCTGTTGATTTACTGAATTACATGATTTTATTTTTAAAAATACCATAGTATCATATTATTTTAGTTTACATTTCCAGTGGCAAAAAGTTTAAAGGAATCTTAAACAGTCAGCACATTCTGATGTAAATTGAATTCTGAAACTGTTCTTCCGAAACTTTTTTCCTCTAACTTAAATAGAAATGGAGACATTTAAATAATGGTACAGTATGTACAAAATCTCATACTGGTTGCAAGATTCCTTTGTGTGTGTATTTTTACTTCATATTGTTTCAATATTTTCCAGTAGGGTAAGATTTTGGGTAAATTTAATCAATATTCACCTAGCCCTGTTTTCTTGCATTTATTACTCAACAAGTATTCTTTGCTTTATGTTGTATCTAATAGTTTTTCTCTGTTTGTCTAAGCAATCCACTTGAAATACTTACCTGCAATATTCATTTAGAGTTTTAGAGCGAGTAGACATGGTCATTTGTAGAAGAGTGGATACCCTTTTAGGTTGAGCCATAGTTGTCTGATTTCCAGTTTTTTTCAATTTTAAAAAGGTCTGCCGTCCATGTAAAACCCAAGGCAAGAGGCAAAATGCAAGGGCAGGATTCTGCCTGCTTATATTGTGAAAAATTACCATACCTCCTGGTCTTTCAGTATTTTTAGTCAACAAATAAAGGGCTTGTTTTGTTCATAATTGGGAAATGCAGCAGTTGATGTTTCTAGTTCATTTTGGAGCCCTGTTCCCCTCCTTGTGAAGCAGCATTGCTGGCCCATCGAACACCATTGAGGACTTTAGCATGAAGGTGAGTGGGCAAGAGTGTAGCTAGCCAGGATGAGCATTGGCCGCAAAACAGGAATGTGAGGTCTTTCCACTTCGGGTCTTGTTTCGTGCTTTTTCAAAATTGACACGGCACCATTCCAAATATGCATGCTGATACAGTAGATGAAAGCTGTGACCCAGGCAGTACAGATTAAACCAGTAACCCAGCATAAGAATGCCCCTGTTACTGGGGAGGGTCAAGTAGAGTCAAGTCAAACAATCTGGTACTGTTCTGTGATCTCTTTCAGTGTTTGGGTGGGGTGGGGTTGGGTGGTTGGTTAGGGAGGTGGAGCCAAAAAGGAGCCTGTGAGATGGATTGTAGCAGGACTTGAGGCAGAAAGGCTCACGGCTTTTCCACCAAGGTAGGGGATCAACTCAAAGGGAATTGTCTTTGGGACCTCCACCACGCCCTGACATATTTCTTAAAGCTGGTAGTTAAGGCTACACATCATTTCAACCTCAGGATTTTAAAATTCTGCTTAATAACTTAATAAAAGGATGTAATAGATGTTATAACTGCAATCATCTCATCTAATAGTTTCCTATCAATTATTTTTTGCATTTATATTTCTATTGGTTTGTATATACTCCTCTTCCCTCTCTCCCAAAAGATTCTACTGATCCCAGTAGAATAACTATGATGCATTATTTCTTAATAATGGGAGCTGAATTAGAAACAACTACAGATTTATGTAATAGCTGGTGAAATTTCCCGGACGTGACAGCCCTGGATTTTGTCTGTACTGTAACGGTTGATTGTTGGTACTGTTCCCAGACTGGTCACTAAACAGTTACCGCTGTCACATTTCATTTTATTAATTTTCATACTCTTTTTTCAATGTGTTTTTATTTTCCTTAAGAAATAATGGTTCAAAGAGTTTTCTAGCTGCTGTTATCATCTGTAATGTTCTCTTCCCTTTTATTCGCAAATAGCATGGTGTTACCTGGTTATTTCAAATACGATTTGCGGGGGGGGGGGGGTTTAGGATGGAAACCTAATTTTTTCCATATTAACCTTTGTGTGTAAATATTTTTTCCTATTCCTTAGAACTATGCTACTTATGGTCAATTCCACTGATCATGACTTGGTTTAATAAGGTGGGATAGAAGGGGTCTTCGCCCATATTTGCAGGCACTTCATGGTGGAAACAATTAAATCAAGGCACCTAAAACTGATCATAGTTTTCGATTTCCAATTATATAAAGAATAAACCAGAATATGAAAAACTTCAAGCAAGATTTTACAATCTAGCATGTCCTTGTCCTGAAGTTTATTATTTCCTGGTCTGGATTACATGTGAAGCTATGGTTAATTAGGAATTTCCTGATTTAATGGCTTGTGATGCAAAGGTTTATTAAACCAAGGTATGATTGTCAGAATAGGCCACTATATCTTAATGCTGGCATTAAGATCAACAAGTGTTTTCCTTCTCTAGTTAGTGCAGACCTATTGAACTTAAACATTAAGTTATTGATGCAATTTGATATTTTTTCATAATTTCTATTTAAACAGAAGTTGCATCATCTTCATAGAACATCTCTTAAGAGTTGCCTTAAAGCATCAGGATTGCTTTTGCTGTCTTTTTCTCTGTTATGTTCATAATAAACTTCTGTGTAGTGAAACCGAGTGGCTGTCCATTTCTTTGTAACAATATTCAGAAGTAATGCAGGCAATCATATGTTTATGAACAGAAGTACTGACTTTTTAAAAAGAAATATTGGGCAAATTACTGACCATTTCTAAGCAATATTTCTGAGGTGCGATCATTATTTTTTTCCTTTTTTAATGGATTCTCAGTATATAGTTGAAAAAATTAAAAGTTTCAGGTTTTGCTTACGTCATCTGTAACTTTCTCATAGTATATATTTTTCATTAGTTTCTGGAAAACACAGAAATCAGTTCTGAAATTCATTTTAATAAAAATTGTCTTATATCTTCACAACCTGATCCACTTACGCAGCCATTTCCTCGTGAAGAAGATCCTGACAAATATACAAGGTTCCTTTTCCTGTTCTCTTCCACAGTGGGAGGTTTCTGTGCCTGGATTCCCACGTTCCACTAAACCATAATGTGGCATGTCTGATGCTAAGTTAGCACATGTGAACCCAACATACCTTCCTTCTCTGGTTCTTTGCCATCCAAGAGAGAGAGAACTAGATGACCACATGGGAGGTGTTCACATACCTTCTCTTTTCTTCTAGTCCCCCCCCTACAGTGTCTGTTCTCACAACTGGCCGCGTCTGTAGATATACTTGGAATACTTTCTGGGTTACCTTTTTTAACACACAAATTAATCTAGTTCTTAACCAGAGTCTGGGAAATCAATTCCTTAATTTCCAACTTGGTAATCTCATACCGGATTTCTTTTTTTTCTTTTTTTTTACTTTAATGAACTTTTTGCCAAGTGCACTTCCAAATACCTCCAGCTTCATTGATGTAAAGACTTAATGGTTCTTTCTGCCAGACCGGTGCCTCTGAGCTTCATCCATGGCAGGAGAAAAGACCTCTTGTCTTCAGGGCTGGAGAGAGCAATCTTTTCCTTTTCACTGGAAACTAGACATCACCTGAAGTGGGTAGCATCTGCCCTATGCTTGTCTGTTCAGTCTGTGGACTGACTGGTGAAATCCATG